GCACTTATGCATGGTTAAGTTCATCCGTGGAAAACCTGAACCCAATCTTTAGCACATGTTGGTACCAAAAATTCATGTCTTACCTGCGTATATATGATATGTCTTTAATTTTATGTTAAAGAAAGCAACTCAAAAGGGAGAAAGTAAAAATTTATAATTAGAATATCGCATCCAATTAAGCCCAGAGCAGTGTTTCTTCCCCAAACCCCAAAAACTTTAACCTTAGACTGTCTACTATTGACCTCACCCCTTTCTTTAGAGGTCTGTAGGGGTGTGCATAAGCGCACCAATGGGTCTACCTTCCCTGTCCTATTGTTTCTTTTATTTATTTTTATTTTTCTTATATGTATCCATGTATTCATAACTATGTTTTTACTTATACCTATTATCTTGTAAGCAATTGACAAAAATAAATAAAGAAATAAATGAAAAATAAAAAAATATGTACATCTTAAAGTTACCATGGTTGAGAAACACTGCCCGAGGCTAGCATCAAGGACTCACATGATTCCAGTTGTACGATTGGGGAGTGCAGGTTATTTAATTTTGACCTATCCCAGACCAGACATGCACATTGGGAAATAATCGCAAGGAGCCTGACTTAGATCTTAGTAAATACAGGCATATGTGCAAATGAGACCCAGCTTGGTGTAGTGTGTTCCAGCTTTTTTACTGCATTTTTGTGTTCATCCAGGTGGGTACTTATTCTTCTATTGGTCTGTCCAATGTATGTGGCCAGGCATGATGCACAGGGGACTTTGTATATGCCTTGGTTTTCCAGGTCAATTTTATCTTTGGGGTTTCTAAGGATGGCTGCTATTTTTCTGTCTGTTTTGAAGGCAGTCTTGATGTGATGCCTGTGTAGTATCTTACTGATTTTGTCTGTAGTACCTCTTATGTAGGGGTCCTGCCTACATGTTGCTACAACTTTAAAAGCACAACTATAACGACGTGGGAAAATACCCGAACAAAGCTGAATACCACACACACACACACACACACACACACACACACATATATATGAACAACAGTAAATAAAACACTCATTCCATTCCAATTCAATTCTATCATTAATATTAGTTAGAATCTTAACATCTTTAACATTTCTTTTCAATTGAACATCATACTTCCTTGTGAACACTTATAAACTTTCCATAATTAATTCTTTTTTTCCATATTTTTCTTCACTTATATTTTTATATATCATTAATAATTAAAATGTTCCCATCCTTTCCTAATTTCATTCACTTTCTCTCATTCACTTTATTTCATTTATTTATTAACATTATTTTTATTTCTAATATAACAATACTATCTTATGTACCTTTGCAGAATCCCTTTTTCAATTAAATTTTCACCCATTATCTCTAAATAGGCTTATACTTTCATTCCTTATACATTTTCCCTGTTTCTCTATATCTTTTTCCTGTCTTTTATAACTTCTTTTCCTTTCCTTCTTCCCCCTCTTCTTCTCCCTCCCCTTTTGCCCCCTTGTTTCTCTACTTCTAATTCTCTCTTCTGTGATCCTCTCTTCTGTTGCTTCCTAATATTGTAATTATTTTTCAAACTCTTCTTTTTTTTTTGGTTGTTTTTTCAAATCTTAAACTTTTCACTCTCTTTCCCCCCTTTCCTTTTTCCCCCCACATAAAATTACTTGATCATTAAAGATGGCTTCTTCTTTGTCCCAACCTTCTTGTTCTACAAGCATTTCTTGTTGTTTCTCATAGTTCCAGATCTCCATTTCTAAAAATTGAAATATGAAGCCAAAAGAACCTCTTCCTTCTTGTGCATCTTCATTCTGTTTTTTAAGTTCCATTTTCAGTTCTTCTAAAAGTGATGCTATTTTAAACACTTTTAAACAACCACCCAATTGATTTTAGTCATTTAAATCCAATAGCCAAAAATCCAAAAATCACCAAGTAATCCAAATAATCCAAAGCTGTTTCTTCTTGCTTCTTTTTTCCACTTTCTCTTCCTGGGGTTCTATTATTTTGTTACAAAGTTTCAGTTAGAATGTATCTTTTAGGAATCTTGTTAAGGTTTCACTGTAAGTTCCTTTTAGTTCCAGGCAGTCTCCTCCATTTTTCCAGATCCTGTCCTTTTATTCTTTCCTTTTCTCTCCTTTCCTGCTTTTAAAGGTTTTTGAGTATCCAAAAGTCTTTATTATCCCTTTGACATTTTATTTTTAGCTTAAATGCCTACTGATATCAAAGTGGATTTTTGTCAATTTCTTACTTAAATCTCTTAGCTGTCAGTATAAGGAAGGGAAGAAAAAAAAGCCAAATCCTTTCCCTTCCCTCTCTCCTTCGCGGCTTCAAAGTTTTCTTTGGGAACAATGTTATTTTTTTATAGTTCAAATTCCAGGGTACCTTACATTATTGCTTTTTCAGTTTAACCCGGTCAACCAAAACTTTCTCTTCTTATCTTTCTCCTGCACATTCTTTTCTGAGCACCGCTGCAACCGCCTTCGGGAAAGGGAGTAATGGCCAGCTGAGGAGGAGAGATGCGGTTCTCCTCGACCCTGCTGGCAGTCTCCCCCCTCTTCACCACCTCTATGGGATGGCTTAGTCCTGAATCCAGCCGGCTCGGGGCGCTCCGGCGGCAAGCACGGATTGAAACCGCGCACGATCATGAATTTCGGTCTGTCACTGAAGAAACTCAAACCGGAAGCCCTAAATATACTTAAGTATTGAATACATGTATCTGGGTATCATTGGTTTTGATACATAATAATAGTGAAAATATTGATAATATTAGTTACATTAATAATACATAGTTATAATATTATAAATATTAAAATTGAAATTATTGACATGTTAGTATTTGCTCTACCATATATATAATCCTTCATGATTTAATTATTCAATATTTGAATGTACAATACTAATAACAATAGTAATATCATTTAAGTATATGTAATAAAATCATCTTTCAACTTTTAATCTTTACATCTACATATTAATTTTAAAATATTATATCAGAATATGCATAATAATATTTTTATCTCCCAAATTTATGTTGGGAGTTAATGTATTATAAAATATATGCACTGCTTAAAGAATAAGTCATTTATTGAAATATAAATGTCTCAGCAAAAAAAAAAATAAGTGGTTGAAAATACTGATGCTACTGGATACAGTCTCAAGTATAATATGTGAGGATAACCTTGAGAGAAAAAGGGAAGAGATAATACTAGGAAATGGTTAAACAAAAGACAGGGAGTTTTCACAATACCTTCATGGTGAGATGAAGAAACTTAGGAAGGACCTGTGAAATTTTAATAAAATTATTCTAAAAAAAAGATGAACTTGACCAAACATGAGTGTGAATGCTTTTAAGGCCTAACTTGTGACAGTAAGAGTGACCAAGCCTCATTACTTCCATATTAATGGTTTTGACCTTCAAAGCTCTACATGGGGAGGGAGGTGTTACTTGAGGAAATTTCTCTCTCCCCAATTTCATCTGCATGTCCAACATGATGTAGCAAAGTTTAGCAAAGTTTATTATCTTTAGACATTTTTAGAAGACGCCTACTTGCCTATCTTTTATCTATTTATCTAAAAATACATTTAAAAGGTATTTGTAAAACTACTGCTTACCTTATATAATTTTAATTCATATATGCATCAACTAACAAGACAATATAGTCCCAATATGTCCTAAGTACATGCAGGAAGAAAAGAAAGCCTGAAGATGTTCTTGCAGAATGATTACCGTATATGCCGGCGTATAAGACGACCCGGCGTATAAGACGACCCCCCAACATTTCCACTCAAAATATAGTTTGTTATATACTCGCCCCCTCTTCCGCACGCCTTCCACTTTTGCACTTTTTTTTTTTGAGGCACTTTTGTCTACCGTGGAAACGAATCCCGTGAAGCCGAAAGGAGCAGCCAGCCTTCTCCCAGCTCCCAAGGAAACGAGGCTCGCACCGCCCGGGCTCCGCTGAGGTATCCGGCTGGGGCTGTCAGGAGTTGTTACCGCTGGCGCGGCTCCAGTCCCGCGTTGCCTCGGGAAGGGAAAGGCAAAAAGGAAGAGCTGCGGCGGCGCTTTGCAATGGCAGCAGCGGCTCCTGGTTTTGCCTTTCCCTTCCCGAGGCAACACGGGACTGGAGCCGCGCGGAGCCGCGCCAGCGGTAACAACTCCTGACAGCCCCAGCCGGATACCTCAGCGGAGCCCGGGCGGTGCGAGCCTCGTTTCCTTGGGAGCTGGGAGAAGGCTGGCTGCTCCTTTCGGCTTCACGGGATTCGTTTCCACGGTGCGCAAAAGTGCCTCAGCCGCGGGCAGCCGCAGTGCTTCCCAATTACTATTTGCCGGCGTATAAGACGACCCGGCATATAAGACGACCCCCCCAATTGGAGGCATCTTTTTCAGGGCAAAAAAGTCGTCTTATACGCCGGCAAATACGGTACCCATATCTAGTGTTTGAAAATTTAATTCTAGGTAGAGTAAAAAACAGAAGGCAGACTTTCTTTTTTTGTCATCATGGGAGAAATAAGATATAACAAGTTCCAGACTAGAAATTGTAATAGTTAGAACAGTTATTGGACAGTTGTATTAAGAAAGCCATGTGGCTTTGAATGAAGATCTATGCCAAATCCCTATAAACCTCCACTTCACAGATGGAACACAGCCAAGGAAAAAGCTACACTAAGATAATTTTCTGCCAACACGGGAGTCTACCCAGGAAAGCAGTGTCATTGTACTTACATTTATATCTTTATCTCCATTTACACTAAAACACACCAGATTAGAAGAAAATTTACTATGAATTTTTAAACTGGATGGCTTAGACTACAACCCTCTAACAAGTATAATGTGTTGAATGTTTGAATAAATTAGAAGACATAGCTGTCTACTTAGCTACTTTCAATTTCCAGATATCTAGAATATATCTTAGGAAATTACATCTTAATTTCAGGAATAGCACTGCTAAGTTTCTTTACTTATATAGTGGGACATGAAATGCATAGTTAAAAAAATAATCCTGCAGTGCTTACCTTTCCACAACCAAACTGATTGCTTGAGTAACATCTGGGTTTGCAACCTGGAGACGTTTCCATAAAGACCATACAAATTCTTTATCAGCCTTAATAAAACAAAACATGAAAAAGATTAAAGATGGCAACACACCAGTTTTAGATGGCATTCACTACTACTGATTGTGGTATACTCCTGGATTGCTTTTGCCAGTGGTAAGGCTGAAATAAAAATAAGAACAATAACAATAACAACAACGATGATGATGATGTATCACAAATACCAGTGACTGGTGCTAATGGTTGATACGGGTTGCTCCCAGGGTTCTAGATACTTAGTTGATACCTAGAATGCTGGCAGCAACCCATATCAACCATTAGCACCAGTCACTGGTATTTGTGATATATTTTTAAATGTTCAGTTGATTGAGTTTCATGTTTAATGAATAAAAGAGATAATAATAATAGAAAATAGTATTGTCTTCTCATGAGATTCTTGGCTACTCAAACTATGAAAAAGCTATTTGGAGTTTCAAGGTTGAATCTTGTTCTAATACTTCCTCATATCCACATACATATATTGGGAAAATCATCTGGAGATGTGTCTAAAGTTTCAGGGTTAATTACTAAACAATTACTGAACAATATCTAAACGGCTTTAATGAAACAAAAATGCTAGAATATTCTATTAAATATTATTTTGATTATCAAAATATATGGTTTATTGTCATCTGATTAAGAAGTTCTACAGGATTTTACTTTTTGCATATATGTTATAAAATGTTTCACACTATTAAGTCTTAATAGCATATCTTGAAACTTGTTCTTAGGTTCTACTAATATCATCTGAAATAAAATTGCACTTCTAGTCTGAAATTGGCAGAGCCTAGGATGTATCAATCTTCAATGTATCCAAGGACTACTCAGCCTACCAAGTGCATGTTAACAGAACAGAAAGGTCATCGGAAGTCTGTCTTGAGCAGTTAAAAATATATCTGTACAGGTATCATTTGGAAGTTCCCCCAAATTTTCTTATTAAAAACAAAATTACTCACTCTAGCACTGCATGTCAAAAACAGAATCTGCTCACTGTGGGAACGTGTATGAAAAATGGAAAAAGACAGACATAAAACATAAAATTTAGAATGGTTTGACAACTATATTGAAAGTGAGATGCTCTTCCCACTACTGCACAGCAAAGCATCTGCAATGATTGCAGGTCAAGTTTCATACCAAGAGACAATTTTGAAAGAGAGAAACAATGGAATAGTCTTTCACTCAACAGTGAAAATAATTATACCTCATCACCATCATGTTGACATGTGGCAATAAAGTACAACTAAGCACCTGTGTCTTGCTAATACTAAATATGGTTCTGCCATCATCATGGGAAGAGAGTAGATTCTGTGTCATATTAAAAGGTATGCTCTCTCAAAATAATCTAAATATTTTGTTCATAATGTGTAGACACTAATTTTGTAATAACTTGGCCATTCAGACATCAGCAGTTGAGCCTTTCCCTGGAAAGTTTTGAGCAGATTCTCAACATAGACTATTTCTGATGGCTCACTCTATAAAATAATATTGAAGATAACCATTACTTTCTCAATTTAAAATATTTACAGTGTTTAATTACTAGAATAATCAACTGACACAAACACACTTTATAGGAATCACTAGTTTGAGTTCATTTCCCCTGGGGCAGAGTAATTCTGCTACATATAATTATGCCAAATATAAAGATACAATAGATTGATTATTGACTGTAAAGGTGAAATGCCAGGGAAAGGAAATGAAACATAGAAAGATATTTCTTTTTTTAAGGTATATATTAAATTCACACAAATTTTCTATTCTTCATGCATGTCTCTACCTCTGCACATTGTTTTGGGACTATTAGTTAAATCTAGCTAAAAACTGAAACCCTACATTATAAGGGATGGAGGTGGGGGTGAGATATTCTGATTCATAATGGATTTGCTGCAAAAGATCCAGCAAATGTTATGTGCACAAAATGTGATTAAAAGATATTTATCCACAGTTCTGGGCTTGGTAAGGATAAATCTGATAAAAAGAAACAAATGCATAAAATAACTACCAGTATTACTAATTGGAGGGCCCAAACATGACCATGAAGAGAGGCCTTGAAGAACATCATATATGAGCTGGGACACACTGTGTTTACATGTTCACACAGGTAGAGGTAATAGATTTCTAAAATTGAGTGCAGATCAAAAATATACTGTATTTAAATATGTGTATTACTAATTTTCTGCAAGAGACACTAGAAAAATGTGAAGCATTATTTGATGCTCTTCTAGTTCTGTTTCTAGATGAGCTGTTGTATCAGGAAAAACAGAATACTGATACCACTTTCTAAACTCGGGACCAGAAGAGATTATTTAAGTTTCTCTCCTGCTTGGTCTGATAATTGTAATGCCTCATGAGGCCATTCACATATAAAAACACCTGCTACTGCTTCTCCAATTTTCTTAAGAGTTCAAAACATACTTTGACCTTAATCTTCTTTAAATCGTAGCTGACAAAAACCTTCTTAAGAACAGAGTAACAGCATGGAAGCCTTAGGCAAAATCTCAATGCCCAGTCCCAAGACAAATCTCACGCACACCCAAAATATACTAAAGCAGTGTCGCCAAGTCTGGAATACTCTACCCGACTCTGTAGTCTCTTCCCCAAACCCCAAAAACTTTAACCTTAGACTGTCTACTATTGACCTCACCCCTTTCCTAAGAGGTCTGTAGGGGGCGTGCATAAGCGCACCAACGTGCCTACCGTCCCTGTCCTATTGTTTCTCTTATTCTTTTATTTTTCTTATATGTACCCATTTCATGTATTCACAACTATGTATACACTTATACTTATTATCTTGTAAACAATTGGCAAATCAAATAAATAAATAAATAAATAAATAAAGTGATATCCAAGAAACTCTAAGAATATGAGCCAAGGATTGAACCCTATGAAATCCAGATATAATTCCAGGTCTTCAAGAAAGCAAACGAGTAAGGAATCTTTGGAAAAAATCCTAATGAATAAAATACTACAGAAGGAGAACTTACCCAGACTTGGTCAAATAAGCAAAGTTTCCCACTCAGCTAATGATTAAGTAGTTGTATGTACTGTAGATTGATTTAAAAGTATGGTACAGAACTTGTAAAAAATTAAACCACCTTTTATGGTAGAAGATAGAACATTTTTCAAATACAATGCTTACAAAGTAACAAATTGTTAAATACTCCTCAAAATTATCTGATAATCTTTCAGCTATTAATAAACTAAAAACAAGTATATGTGTATGCATATAAGTATGTATTCACTCTGCCCAAATTGAAGTTATTGCAATTTGCCTTTCTGTCTAAACTAGCTGCGGAGGTTTGTACATACATGTACATAGAAAAAGTGAAGGACATACTAGGCTGAAGTGAACTGGTCTATATAAAAAATGTTATGTTTAATAGAATGCTGTGAGCATGTAAGAAGGAGGTGCAGTGGCTTAATGACGCTGGGGATAGTCTCAGCTCTAGCAGTTCAAGTCCTAGCTCTGCGTGGTGGAGTGAGCTTCTTCTACCAGTTGCCTCAGCTTCTGTCCACCTTGCAGTTCTACAGCACATTCTATGTGCAGGCAGTCAGATTCCTGGTGGCTCTGAACTTTCCTGGTTGTGGCGCCCACTTGCAGGGCAGTTCCAAGAATGGAGGAGGTTTTGGGTGACACTGCAGGAAGAGCCAATCATCTTTCTCTCTGGTGCAAAGCCAGCTCACCCTCCTATGGTGCACTCTGGGAAACACGTAAATGTTTCCTATAACAGGGCTAGTATCTTGGCAAGCAAACAACTACTCTGCAATAGGATTGTTGTCTCCTGGCTACTGTAATAATGCCATACTACTACTACTACTACTACTACTACTACTACTACTACTACTACTACTGCTGCTGCTGCTGCAGCAGCAGCAGCAGCAGCAGCAGCAGCATGTAAGAAATAATACTGGACTTTGGTTGTATTAAACATGTGTCAAAACTGAACAGGATTGCCTTTAGCATTAGAACAGATGCTACATGTAACACTAAATCACCAATGTATATAATATCTTCTCAATCTTACTGGAAATGACTATGTGAAAGCTTTGACTCACTCAAACCATAAAGGTAGTCCTCCACTTACAACCATAATTGGCCCATAATTAAGGTTGCACATTGTTGAAGTTAACAGTCAAGGCATCACATGACTGAATCTGATTTTTTCCTGATGTCACTTTACTGTAAATTCATATAAAATTAGGAATCCATTGGTTAGGTATTGCTCCAGTGAAGACCAGTAAACACACCAGCAAAGTATTGGGGAAAAATGCAGTATGTTCTCATTTAAATATCCAGAAATGAATTAGAATTATTGCCTAGTGAAAATCTACTTAGAAAAAGGCCTGCTTGTTTCAAACATACAGTTTAAGCATACATTTATTCTTGTGTACAGACAAGACGAAAATAAAAGTCTAACAGCACAGCTGACTGTATTGTTTATAATGAAAGATTGAGAAAATTAGTGAAGGATATATGAGTAAGAGTAATAAGAAATTCTGAATGTGAGATGGACCATTGTTTAGCAGTGTTAAGAGTAGATCTTGGGAAAAATGAACCTCAAAGAAAAATAAGAGTGAAAATACAATAAAGAATGAAAGTACACTGGCAGCAAAAAAGAAAAAATATGAATCCTATATGAAAAAGGTATTAAAATACATTAATTTCCCAAAAGAATTAATGGAAAATGGCTGAAAGGAAAGACGATATAAAGTTGCTTGAATCACAGTGAAAAGAATTGTGTTACAAAGTGCCACAGAAATTTGGGGAGTTAGATGGGAAATACGAAAAAGGATGCTTGGTAGAATGATGAAGTAAAAGAGGCTGTAGATGTGGGGAAATGCATCTAAGATGATGATTGCTGCAAAAAGTGATGTAATATATTGTACATTTGGTATAGAAAGGGGAAAAAAGAGCTACAATTAATGTATTGATAGAAATAAAAATGTTTTCAAATGGGATGAAAAAGGCTAAACACAAGAGCCTCCGACTGAAAGAATCCACTTAAGAATAAAC